CCCTCACCCCCCCCGCCACACCTGCCCAGTGCATATCTGAGTCAGTCTGTGTCAGTGATGCATGCTTTCCATGCAAGTTACAGAAAAAAGCACTCTTTTATGGCCATCGAGCTCTTGCCTAAGCCCAGGAAATGCATGCACTGCCCTGCATAATAAATTGGGATTAGCTCCAAGAAAACCACTGCCTACAGCATTGCAGGAAAGAAAAAAAAAATTGAGTATTTGATCTTCAGAAGTAGGTTTACAGTTCTGAACAATTGAAGAGCTTGCTTTCTTCCACTTCATATTGATTTAACCCCTTGCGGGTGTCTGGGATGTACCTACTTTTTAAAGCTGTAACCTAATCTTCAGCATCATGTGTCCAGCAAGATTGATGTCACATAAACACAGAAGCAGCAAACTACGGAATTCTGTGAGGAATCACTTTCTGTACTTACTTTGGCCAACTCGTTATCAGGTTCAGCATCCAGCACTTGGCGCAAATCCTCCATCGCGTCCTGGAGCTTGTTCTGATGTTTAAATGTAGTGGCACGGCGCAGAAGAGCTGAAATTTTACTAAAATAAGCGCCTGTTTTAACATATGGCGCTATAGTTAACAATTTTTTGAGTGGAAGAACGCAAGTAGCACAGAATGGTTTAGGATGCAATCGTGCAAAGCTTAACGACACCCATTCTCATGTTGTCACACATACAGAAAGTGGTACTGAGGTAAACAAGAGGCTGCACCAGGCACCTGTCCCTCCCACCACCTGGCCCTCTGGCAGCCCCCGGCCCTGCCAGCTCCTCCCGGGGCTGAGAGATTCCGTGCTGTGCGACATAGTGGAGGCTTCTCGTTAAACAATGTTTGCCTCCTTATAATCACCACTAGCATTATTTCACCACTCTCTGAAAACTTTGAAAATCATTTATTCAAATTTAGGATATTACTGACCAGCATCTGACTCAGAATATGGGATCATTAGTGAAGTCTTTATAGCAAGTTCTAAAATAACCAGAAGGAGGTATTTCACATGGATAACTGAGAGAATCCTGATGATTAAGTCAGCTAGGTTCAGAAATCAAGTGCTTTGGTAATTTGCATTCGCTTTTTAAATATGCTTGAATGTATAATAATTATATAATAATTATTAAATCCTGAAAATAAATGCCTTTCTAGTCCCATTATTACACATTATATACTGAGAGAATTTGTGTAATAAGTCATTATTTTGAAAAGAATCAGGCTTAGTAATTCTGAAAAGTGAGAAATTTATATCTGATATATTTTAATGTGCTATTTTCAAGCATAATTTTGACCAATTTGATGTTAGTTTTAAAATGAACTATGGGGCCTGGCTGGAGTGGCTCAGTTAGTTGAGCACTGTCCTGTACACTGAAAGGTTATCAGTTTGATTCCCAGTCAGGGCACATACAAGAAACAACCAGTGAATGCATAAATAAGTGGGACAACAAAACCAATGTCTCTCTTTCTCTCTCTTACCCTATTTCTTTCTAGAAATCCTATATAATAAAAGGGTAATATGCAAATCAACCGAATGGCAGAACAACAGGTTGCTATGATGTGCACTGACCACCCGGGGACAGACACTCAATGCAGGAGCTGCCCCTGGTGGTCAGTGCACTCTCACGGGGCTCGCTGCTGGTGAGCACAGTGGCGGTGGTTGTGGGAGCCTCTCCTGCCTCTGTGGCGGTCGGACATCCTCTGAGGGCTCCCAGACTGCGAGAGGGCGCAGGCAGGGCTGAGGGACCACCCCCTCCCACACCCCACCTCAGGGTACGAATCTTGTGCACCCGGCCTCTAATAAATAAATAAATAGGAAGGAAGGAAGGAAGGAAAGAAGGAAGGAAGGGAGGGAGGGAGGGAGGGAGGAAGGACAAACTATGGAAATATAAAGATAAATCATTTTGCCCCGGCTGGTGTGGTTCAGTGGATTGAGCATTGTCCCATGCACCAAGAGGTTGCTGGTTTGAATCCCAGTCAGGGCACATCCTGGGTTTGCAGGCTGAATCCCCAGTTGGGGGTGTGCAGGAGGCAGCCAATCAAAGATTCTCTCATTATTGATGTTTCTACCTTTCTCTCCCTTTCCTTTTCTCTCTGAAATAAATAAAAATTTAAAAAAAGAGAGATGGATGGTAATGATGACTGCACAACAATACCATTGAACTGTATACTTAAGAATGATTAAAACGGTCAATTTTATATGTATTTTACAAAAAAAATGGAAAAAAAACCCATAGTTAAATGCAAGCTTGAGATAGATAGTTCTTTAAAAAACACATATATTTTATTGAATCTTCTGAAATTATCGGCTACTTCAATGCAAAACCAGGGACGTAAATTCCAAGTTAAACTTGACACTAAAAGTAACTTTATGAAGGTAATGATTCCATATAGAAATTTGAGCTTATTTGACATAGGTTTAGTGTGAACATAATGAGTGTCTACAAAGAGTCTTTAAGGATCCTGCTGTCAATGTAAAAGCGTCCTTCGCATATGTTTTACCTTTTACATTTCCAGGCTCTACCTCCAAGACCTTTTCACAGTCCTGAAAAGCACTGTTCCAGTTCTGTAGTTTGAGTTCTGCTTGAGCTCGATTATTATAGGCTGCTACGGTGGGAAGCACGGATATGCTCCTATAAAACAAACGCTCATTGGCAACAAGCAGGCCAGTGGTAAATCCAAGAAGACAGAGAAACGCAGCTGAAGTTAAAGCAGAGTCGTAGACACAGAGAAGGGACTGGTGGTTGCCAGAGAGGAAGGTGGTGGGGGGCTGGGGAGAAAGGTTAGGGCTGCTATAAAAGAATCATGGGACGGAAAGCACAGCACAGGGAATACAGGCAATGACGTTGCAGTAACTCTGTAGGGTGCCAGGTGGGTCCTGGAAATACTGGGGGAACGCTTTGTAATGTATATGATTGGCTAACCACCATGCTTTATACCTGAAACCAATACAAAATAATACTGAAACAGACGTGAATTTATGATAAATACAGTATCTTGAGTGAGTCTGACATAGGCCATTTAGCTTATTTATATCCTTTCAATAATTAAATTTAAATGCTACCATTTTTTTAAAAAATAGCAAGTTTAAACCACACAAAAATCTGCTCACCTTGTATAATATTTCACAGCCTCTTCATAATCTCCCGACTTGAAAGCTTCATTTCCTTTTTCCTTCTCACGAGTAGCAAGAAAATCCTTTTCTTTCTCAGTCAGACCTAGAAACAAATGGTACCTGCTTTCAGTAAACGTATAATTTAATAGAATATTTACAAAATGTTAAATCCAAGAATGCTTATTTTAAGAGAAGCTGAAAATTGTAAATAATTAAAAGAAATGATTTCCTAGCCGAAACCAGTTTGGCTCAGTGGATAGAGCGTCAGCCTGCAGACTGAAGGGTCCCAGGTTCGATTCCGGTCAAGGGCATGTACCTTGGTTGCGGGCACATCCCCAGTAGGAGATGTGTAGGAGGCAGCTGATCGATGTTTCTCTCTCATCGATGTTTCTAACTCTCTAACTCTCTCCCTTCTTCTGATTATTGATTATTGTAAAAAATCAATAAAATATATTTTAAAAAAAACAACAACAAAAAACAAACAAAAAAGAAATGATTTCCTAAATTTAGTAATGTTTCTTTTCTTTTTTCTAATCATTCACAATTTTTGAGGGTTTACATATGTTATGACTGATTTTGTTTCTCTTTAAAGGTACTATACGCCTATGGACTTCAAATGAAAACAAATTAACTGTTCCATCATTTTGTTTTGAAGCAAAAAGAAAATAAATTTGAGGGATTTGAAGGAAAAAGAGGATTTTTAAAAAAAGAAATGAAAAACAAATTAATTACAGTAAAAAAATGGGTTGTATTTTTAAGTCTGACTAAAATTCAAGAAGTATAACTGTTAATCATATAAAATTAAATAAAGGACAGATCTGAATTTGTTAGAAGTGGTTAACTTTAGGAGAAAATGCATAAACTTGTCATGAAAATCTGTAGCATTTAAAGAGAAAGCCTTTGCCCATCCGGTTTGGCTCAGTGGATAAAGCACTGGCCCATGGACTGAAGGGGCACAGGTTCGATTCCAGTCAAGGGCATGTACTTCAGCTGCAAGCTTGATGATCCCAGCGTGGGAGGCAACTGCTTAAAAAAAGAGAGAATGTCCTCTAGTTTGACAGTTTTTATTGTAACTTTAAAAACTTAAAGACTACTAAATTGTTCTTGTATTTCCCCAATTACCTGCTGTGTCTAGTCTTGTCTCAATTTTAGACAAATGTGACTTGTTGTTTATTAGAGTTTTGTCTTTGCTATCTTCATCAATTTTTGAACATTCCTTTTCCACATCAAATCTTAAAAGAAAGAATAAAAACAAAAAAAGTACAATACAATACATTAAAATATACTAATGATATTCTTGTATTTGTATCACCATGCCTTTAAACACACATTCCAAAAATGCATACTAGCTTATATTACAAGTTTTCTGTATTCTTTCTTATAAACCATGTAATTTAGTGAGAACTTAAACATTAATCAGATCTAAACTATTTAGATTTTTGTAATTAAATTTGTAACACATTTCTCTCAATTTAAATTTTTTTTAACTTTTTATTTTTTTACAATATGCAAAATAAATCAGTCTCTATAAGATCTCCACTTTCGTTCCTCGGATATCAGAGTTCTCTCCTGCGAGTTTTCCGTTGATTATTCAGTAACCTTTTCTGTATTTTAGTTGTAATTCCAATTTCTTCCTGGGAGCATGTCCCCCAGCATCCACTTACTCAGCCGCCATTTTTAATCTCTCAATTTAAAATTTTTGTTCTTTTTTATTTTGGATAGGTATAAGGATTATATTATTTATTTGTGGTTGCTCTCATAAACAAAAGGATGCAGATTTTTATTTAATGAAAAACAAGATCAAGAGTGCTTAGACTATATACTCTGAGTACTCTACTGAAGTACCTTGCTATTCTTGATGTTCAGGTTTATAATAATTAAGAACTTATTACAGTATTTTGTGGTAGAGAAGTTTTCAGTGACAAATTTTACATAAAAAATGTAAAACATACTTATCCCACTCTGCATAATCCCTTGGAATATTCTTTTTAGCTGATCTACTTTTAGAATATTTTCCCTAAAAGAATAAAAACACACTTTATGAGACATACTTAATATAAGATTAGCAGGTTTTATTATAAATACAATGTGAAGAATTGGATTACTAAGAAAACTGAATGAATAAGAAAAATACGTACCCTTTAAGCTATAACAAATCCAGTATTAAAATTATTAAGAAAAGAATATATATCAAGCTTCAAAGGATTTTAAATTTGTAGTTAATTTGCCCAGCAGGTATGGCTCAGTGGCTGAGCGTCAACCTATGGACAAGAGGTCAGTGTTGGATTCCAGGTTAGGACACATGCCTGGTTGCAGGCTTCATCCCGAGGAAGGGGTGTGCAGGAAGCAGCCGATCAATGATTCTCTCTAATCATTGATGCTTCTATCTCTCTCTCCCTCTCCATTCCTCTCTGAAATCAATAAAAAAAATTTTTAAAAAAATTGTAGTTAATCTCAGAGCAATCTATAGGACTTTAAGCACATACATAAAATTTTTAAAAATCACATGTGAAATGATTCTTAGTGATTTTCTTATAATAAAAAAGTAATAAACTATCACTCATTCTTTTAAAACCTAGGCATTGGAGAATATTTTGCTGTATTACTCAAAGCTGGTTTGTTTGCAATAACAGACACCCAACTTGGACTAATTGTATTTCAAAAGAATACATTATTGGCTTATGTAACCAAACTGATGAAAGGCAGGACAGGGATATTGCTGGATGAAAGAGTCATATGGTCTCGCTCCAATTCCTCTCCCCACCCCTTCCTCATCCCTGCTTCTCTCTGCCTACTGATTTTGTTTTCCCTGCTGGCTACTTGCTTTCTCCATGTAGTAGAAAACATGGCCACAAGCAGCCTGCAGTTATAACCTCACAGGCCTCCGAATCAGAAAGGAAAAGGACTCTGCTCTCCATCTTTAGAGAAATCCCAGGGAAGGGTTCTGATTGCCTAGCTGGGGTCATGCGCCCATCCCTGACCGAGCACTAGCTTGGTGCTAGTAAGGGGCCCAACCTCGGTCACATGCCCAGTGGAAGCGCCAGAGGGAGTGGGAGAGAAGCAAACAATAGCCATTATGCTCACAAATAGTTTCTGAAATTATTTCTTAGAAGTTAGTCATAATCTGAAACCATTTTGGGCGGTTTTGTAACGTGGTGCATTGGTCACGTGGAGTTAAGCAGATCTTCCAAATATTCATACATTTCATCATACAATAAAAAACCAGATCTGCTAATATCTTCATGGAGATCGTCAGAAAAGTCTGAGTACGGGAAATTGTTTTGTCACAAGCAGGTATTCAAGAGCCACGTACGAATATGAAATACTCTTCTAGATTGTACTGGAAAGCTCAGGTATTATCACTGGCAAAAAGCACTGTCGGTTAAAGTGACAGGCCCACTTTGTTCATTTTCAACGCAATGTCTGCCAAAAAACCAAGTCTGAATAATCATACATTTTTGGAGAAAAATTTATTCCAGAAAAAAGTGGCGACTGAAGCTGCCAATGCAATCACACAAGTGCTTTTCTTGAGATAACAATCATCTTTCACTTCACAGTGAAATGCTTTCTGCATACTTCCCATTTTATCACACAGATTATTAAAAACATGTGTCGTTTCTCTCTCCCTTCCTTCCACTCTCTAAAAATCAATGGAAAAATATCGTTGGGTGAGGATTAACAAAAAATAATAAATAAATAAATATGCCCTTGCCCAGCTGAAGTAGCTCAGTGGTTGAGCATCGACCTATGAACCAGAAGGTCATGGTTCAATTTCTGGTCAGGGCACTTGCCCGGTTGTGGGCTCGATCCTCAGTGTGGGGTGTGCGGGAGGCAGCCAATCAATGATCCTCTCTTGTCATTGATGTTTCTATCTCTCTGTTCCTCAACCTTCCTCCTGAAATAAAGTTTAATAAAAACAAACAACAACACAAAAAACTGGTCATAGTAGAAGAGGCTGAACAGCAAAAGGAAAATGAAGAAAGGCAATTAATCTAAGATGCAAGTCTTCAAAAGAAAAGGCGGTTTTATTTTGATTCATCAATTAATAAACAATGGTCTACTCGTGAAGGTAATAGCACATGACCAGCTGAAAGAAATCCCTGCTCTCCTAGAACACATCACCGTTTGGCTGCACTGACAAAACTGAGATAGCTCTCCTCATACACAACCTTCTTCCCCTATCCACCACGCCCCGCACCAAAAGGCCTACTTTGGCAACATCAAGACGGCTGTTTGAACCACGAACTGGAGGCAAATTTTCTTCCTTTGCTGGAAATGTTTCAGTTTCATGAAAATATATTTTACTTTCTTCTTTTTTAATTTCTGTTACCCAATTCTGAGGGGAAAAAAAAGGAGGAAAATGAAGGCAAATATACAATTTTAAGTAATTAACCAAGCATTAGAAAAGACTATATGTCATCAAAATTTCCCATGGATCAGTCAGTTTTTTAGGTGACAGTTTGATCGCGCCATTCTCTCTACCTGGAATGCCCTTCCTACTCTTTTTTTTTATTTGGGGAAAATACACATATCATAAAATTTACCCTATTAATCATTTTTAAGTGTACAGCTCAGTATTATTAAGTAAATTCATATTGTTGTTGGCCTTCCTACTTTTCATTATCTTGTAAGATCTTATTGACCATCTCTCCCAGTAAGCTTTCTCTGAGCTTCCGGTTTGGTTTAAACATGTTCCCCCTCCATGTATTAGCATAATGGTTTAAAATAATCTATTTAGTGTTCATCCCTTTCACCACACTGTAAATTCCTTGAGGGCAGAGCCTATGTCTTAATCTCATTTTTTGTGATTCCAGAACATAGCACAGTGTCTGGCATATAACAGGTTCACAATAATGTTCATTAAACTGAATTGTCGCCTGGCTGGCATGGCTCACTGGTAGAGCATTGACCCAGAAACCTGGAGGTCACGGATTGATTCCGGTCAGGGCACAAGCCCAGGTTGCAGGCTTGATCCCCAGTGGGGTGTGCAGGAGGCAGCCAATCAATGATTCTCTCTTATCATTGATGTTTCTATCTCTCTCCTCCTTCCTCTCTGAAATCAACAAAATATATTAAAAGAAACATAAATAAAATAAATTGTCACTGGTGCCAGGAAAATACTGAGTAGGATATTTATCATCTGTGTAATTCTATTATTTATTTTTCATCAAATATATAGTGAGGGTGTAATATTTGCTAGACGTTCTTAAAATAGGCACTGGGATATAGAAATAAACTCTGTTACCTGTCCTATTTGTATAGAAGGCAGGGAGGATGGAGGGGTGCAAACAGGAGAATAAAAACACAGTAAGGGAAGAAAGGGAAGAAGGAGAGAGGAGGAATTGCAGAAGAGAGAAAGGAGTGAGAGAGAATGGGGAATGCAGGAGAAGTGGCAAGGCAGACATGAAAGAAAGGGGGATGAGAAGGAGACTGACTAAAAAAGTGACCTGAAAGAATACACAGTTGTGGTAAAAGCAGGCTCTGCAACTAAAACCAAAAGGTTTTGCCCTGGCGATCTGGCTCCGTTGGTTGGGTGTCACCCTATGCGCGGAAAGGTTGCGGGTTTGAGGCATGCAAGAGGCAGCCGATCGATGTTATGCTCTCACATCAATGTCCCCCCCCCCCACACAATGCCTTCCTCTTTCTCTAAAAATCAATGAACTATTTTTAAAAAACGAGGTTTTATCCCCCAAAAATAAAGTCAAAGAACTCTAAACATAAACCACTATTGTAGCTATATTAATAACCAGATTTCCAAATTCAAGTCAATAAAATGGTAAAGTGAGAAAGCTGATGAAAGTTTTTAAAAACATAGTATTCTGAACCCAGCCAGCATGGCTCAGTGGTTGAGGGTTGACCTATGGACCAGGAGGTCAGGGTTCGATTCCCAGTCAAGGCACATGCCCAGGTTGGGGGGCTTGATTCCCAGTGGGGGGCATGCAGGAGTCAACCGGGCAATGATTATCTCTCATCATCAATGTTTCTATTTCTCTCTCTTACCTCCTCCCTTCCTTTACGAAATCAATAAAAATATATATTTTTAAAAAGCCTTTGGCTGACAAAAAAGAAACCTAGAATTTTGGATAAGTGAAGTAGACCTATATACAACATGACAATGTCACAAAAACCAGTGTTGATCTATACCTTGATATCGCCATCGATTTTTTCCCATTCTCTTGCTGTGAAACTGGATTCTGTCGCTGCAGGTTTGTCTTTCCTCAAAGCTCTACTTTGAGGAGCCAATCCTTGAAGGCGCTTTTCACAAAACTCTATAAGTTCAGGATAATATCCTTCCTCTCCAGACCTTAAAAAATAGTACAGAATTTTAGAGGTGCCGCTTTGTTCAGAGATCAGCTAGACCGGCGGTTTGCAGGCTGGGTTCCACGGAGCCCAGGGGTTCCGCGGAGACCTCTGGACTGCCCCGCAGGCGGTGGCATGTGGGGCTGCTGCTCCCAAGCACCTTCCTCAACCAGTGCAACCTCCGTTATTATCTGTTCATCCGTGCAGGGATGCAACGGAAGAAAAGAAGGCGCTCCGAAGACACACTTTTCCATCACACACTTTACAAGGTGAATGAATAACATTTCCTCTCCTCTTTAACACACACATATGTTCTTTTTGTACATAAGGTAATTTTAAACTTAAAAATGGAGATTCAATATTAGAGACAGGCAGAAAGTGAGACTCTGGGCTTCCTTTCCAAGGAAGAGCTCCTAACTTATTTCCGTTCCTTCCCCCAAAGGGATGGGGAAAAAATGGCAGAGGAACAGTTTAGAACAACAGCACTCTAAATACAACCAGGAAACAGAATTCCTCTCTTAGAGGGTTAAATGGAGACATCTGTTCTAGTTTGTCTTTATTATTATTATTATTATTTATTATTAAAAAGAAAATCAATTTTTGCCCTTCTCCAGTAAGTCTGTTCACTTTTAAATTTTTAGAAAAATAGAAATATATCCCATTTTCAAGTAAAATTAAAAAATCATCGTTCCAAGTCAATGCAATATAATTTCATGAAGCTATTCATAGAATTTCTTAGAACCAACATTATTACTATGGCTTTCAGACACTTCCATCCCGTAAACTTCTCATTTTGTTGATCAGTCCTTGGTCAAATATACATGAATAAGTTCTTATACTCCTGAGGAAAACAAAAGGGAAAGCAACGACAGGATTCCTATTTCCATTTCAGAAATGATGAGGTTGTTACATCAACTCTGGCTGGGGACGAGCAGGGCTGCCTAGGGAGGACATGACACCAAAGGTAACGAGAGAGAAAAAGCAAAGGACACAGTTGTAAGATGAAGGGTCCGGGGGAGAAAAGAGAGCCACCGCAGAGATGCCACGGTAGGGATGCCACGCTCCACATGTGCTTCTGCAACATCAGGCTACTCCCCAGGGGAAAACCCCCCAAGAAACCTGAAATACGTGGTACAGGGCAGTGATTCTCAAAGTGGGTTCCCTTGACCACCTGCATGTCGATTAGCCAGGCACTTGTTAAAAACACAGATTCCAAACAAAACAAACAAATAAAAAATACACACAGATTCCTGGGCCCCACCCCAGATTTCCTGAAGTAGAATTTCTGGGAATGGGACCCTCAAATTTTCATTTTTAAGAACCATGTGTATATGAAAGTTTAAGAATCACCACCGTGGGGTTCTTAGCCAGAGAAGGCCCGGTTCCCTGCCTCCTGTTCCGGCCTCCGGGCTGGCTTCCCCGCCATCCTCCAAGTGACCAGCTCAGAGTCACCAGATGGCACGAAGCGGGAGAGGCCAAATAACCTTATCAGCGTAGGCTGGTGAGCTACCCTACATCCTCCTGGCGACTCCCACAGTTACCTTTTCCTGGACAATATGAAGGAAGCAAGAGAAAGGCCCTCCTCAAATTAGCCTACGGTGCACGGAGGAAGTACACCCAGCCAGACCACTGCAAACTAACAACAGGATCAAAACCACTATTGTGGGACCTAATATGGGAAAATACAACAAACAATAGCGATGCTTGAAAATGTCTTCCAACGTTTCTAATGCAGCCTCAGCTTTTAGAAGGCAAGAACAATATAATTAAAACTGACAAATTGAAACTAGAAATGATTTTTAAATGCTTACCTAAGCACACAAAGAATTTTTTCCAAATGTTTAACGTCTGAACATTTTTCAATGTACTTGAAATCCAAATGTTCAACGGGAATTTTGAATGTTTTTGTGGTTCCAAAGCCCAACAATGATGGGCAATCTTTGGCAGTCATGGCTGAAATATAGTACAAGAAAACAGTTATGAATCTTATATATATATAATCTCACTCCATTTGGATAGCAGTAACCATCTCGGTACTTCTTTAATAATTATGTTTTAGCTCTAACCGGTTTGGCTCAGTGGATAGACCATCGTCTTGCGGACTGACAAGGTCCCAGGTTCGATTCTGGTCAAGGGCATGTACCTTGGTTGCGGGCACATCCCCAGTGGGGATGTGTGCAGCAGGCAGCTGATCAATGTTTCTCTCTCATTGATGTTTCTGACTCTCTATTTCTCTCCCTTCCTCTTTGTAAAAAAAAAAAAAAATCAATAAAATATATTTTAAAAAATAGATTGTGTTTTATTTCTAGAGAAAAGGATGAAGGCTACTGATTTTAAACTCTCTCTCCCTGATAATGACAGCTAACATTCATAGAGCTAAATTACTATGTACCATATATGGATTATCTCCATTTACGTAATGTAGAAATTCAATGACTAAGCAGGTTTTGGTGCTATAAAAAAGGTAAAAAAATACTTTCCTCTACCCAGTTAAGTTCAGTTACTGAGGCCCTGTGAATTAAATTGATAGAACACACATTAACAGAAGGAAACATTTATTTTATATGCACATGGGGGCTTCACCAAAAAGTGAAAACCCAAAGAATCTTTAGCGTGGGAGCCTATATACCATTTTAAAAAAGGGCGATAAATTGTGGAGAAGTAATTAAACAAAGGAGAAGGGGTTTTAGCTTCCAGGAGAAAGTAAATATATGGGAGAAACTAATGAAAGGGTGACCTTTCAAGGCGCTCTCTACTCCCAGCACCTGGAAAACAAAGTGGGGCGCGGGGCTGAGGGACACCCAGAGGCCCTCTGGGCCCCACGCACCTGGGCCCCCACTCCCACCCACTGGAACCAGGTCAGGGTTCGATTTCTGGTTAGGGCTCATGCCCAGGTTGCAAGCTCGATCCCCAATGGGGGGGTGTGCAGGAGGCAGCCGATCAATTATTCTCTTTCATCATTGATGTTTCTCTCTATCCCTCTCCTTTCATCTCTAAAAGGAATACTTTTTAAAAATCATTGCCCTAAATTATATTGGGTGATAAATTTAAAAATAAGCAGCAGCGATGGGCCTAATTCATTTGAAGTATTTCCTTCAGCATGCCTGCCCTCTGGGAGTTTAGTCATATATCGGACCTCTGCAGAAGAAGAGGATGCTCTGTCAGCTTCACCTCCATCTTCCTGCTGGCTTTAACTTAGGTATAGAATATAGATAACAGTTTGTCAGCATTTGGATGAGATACGGCTGAGAAATGAGATTATGGCTTTTGCACCATACCGGAAGGGTCCAGTATGATGAATGGCTCCCATCACAACATAACTTTAAGGGTGGAAGTTACAGGAAAGCAACATAAAGAATTTTTAAATTATTGATGTTGCCCAGAATACAATGGTTTGTCTTAGGATAATTTACCAAAGAGCTGGAGGATCTTTGATGGGAGAGGTTTAAACATCTAATAGGTTTAAAATAAATTTCCTTAAATGAAAGGTGTCTTGCAACCCCTGAGATTTTATTATTTGAATAAAATATAGCGAGAAACATCTGAAATTATAAGACATCTCTTACCTAATCAAATAAATTTCATTCTGAACAGTTTTAACATTTCTGAGAATTCTTTTTGAAAACTACCACTGTTGGTAGAATACACATTCTTAGGATCACAAAATATTCTCAAGTTCTAAAATACAACTTGTACAAGACTTTATTTGCTCTCTTTAAAAAAAATTTTTTTAAAATACTTATTTCAGAGAAGCGAGAGGGAGTGGTAGAAACCTCAATGATGTTCGGCTGGCTCCTGCACGCCCCCTCTTGGGGGCCGAGCCCGCAACCTGGGCATGTGCCCTGACCTCCTGGTTCATAGGTCTGCGCTGAGCCACTGAACCACACCGGCGGGCTTATTTGCTCTGTTTAAAACTCTTCCACACCTGTTTGAATTTTTGTTGCAGATTAGGAAAACCTTATTTTTTTCTCCATCATCCTGATCCACATCCACTTCCTGTACGTATTTCCTACTCAGCTTATCCTAATACCTTCAGTGGAAACTGCGATGAACTAGTAACACGAAAACCTGTTTTCTTCCCGCTTAAGCATCCTTTCGAGATCCACGGGGCCGAGCGCCCTCTGCTGCCTGAGGCCGGAAGGAAATGACAACCTCCAGCCATAGCAACGGTTTCTATGTACAACGCAGCTCGAGAAGGCGGAGGGACTGGCCGCGATCCGCGAGCTCTTACCGCCAACTGGCAACGGTCAGGGGGCACTTTAGGACCCTATGAACGTGTTCCCCACTCCCAGGCTTTCGTCACCAGGAACCCCCGTGCTGCGACCCCGCCCCAACATCTGACTAGGAAGGATGTTCGAGCCACAACGCGCCCCTCACTCTCCAGCCCACAGTGCATTTGCCCCTCCGCGTCCGCCTTTCGCCCCGGCGCAGAGGTAAGGGCTGAGATGGGGACACGAAATTTACTCCTGGAGGGCAGGTACTCACCTGGTTCTCTTGAGCCCCGCGCCCAGCAAACCTGACCCGCGGCGCCGCGGTTGCAGGGAGGGGCGTGTCGCTACGCCTGAGCGTCAAGGGCAACGGGCTGATCGCCAGGGGCGGGGACTAGCCCTCTGCCGGGTGATTGGCTAGTCCGGACCCCATCCCGCTGATTGGCGTTACGGAAGCCAGCTTCACCAGGAAAGAGGACCATTGGGAGAGTGGGAGGGTGAGTTCCCCTTCTCCTTCTCAATTCTTTTCGGATCGAGTTAAAATACTGCCCCTTTGGATTGTTGTGCTACCTGCAAGGTAAACTGGTATCTACTCCTACTAAATTACAGAAGCATAATTAAACGTTCAGGATGTCTACACTGCAACCTAGACTTCCTCCCCTTTATACAGAAGAGTAAATGAAGACAAGATTCCCTCTTTTCATGCATTTAACATTTTCTGAGTGCTGGTTATGAGTCAGACACTGTACTGGGCGCTAGATACAAAAGTGTATACAATTCAGATAAATAAAACAATAATTTTTATTTATGGGGAATTTTTTGTTTTATAATTTCAGCTCTTTCACTCATAATTTTTTTCTCGTTATCATTATGTACATATATATTTATACTGAATGAACAAGCAGGATAAAAAGCAACCTGAAGGAAAAAGACTACAGAGGCAATGAAAATTACCAGTATGGTTTTCATTGAGAGAAGACATTGCATCCAAGAAACAAGGAGATACATAATTCAAGAAAATGTCCCCAAATTGAAGAGCTTGGGTTTCCAGATTGAAAGTACCCAAGTGAGCAAAACAGCGGAAGAAAACCATACAAATGTACATACCGTAAAATTTCAGGACACTGGCAAAAATTCTTAACAGAGAGAAAATGGGTCACAGACAAGGATTAAGAACAAGCATGGTTTGGGACTTCTCAACAACACTGGAAGCTAGAAGACAACAAAACAATCCTTCAGAATTCTGATGCTGGCGAAGAGCACCAGAAAAGTTCATTTCAGGCCGAGAAAAGCCTGGGGAAAAGGAGAGGCAAGAAAGAAAAAAGGCCTCTTACCTGCTTAAGGAACTGCAAACATCTTAGACCCAAAAGAGTGAGAGGTGGGCTGAAGTGGTGACAGAGGTAAGAGTCAGATTATCAAGGACTAAGCACAGTATTCCAAATCATTTTTTATTTTAGCAAAATGAGGAGCCACTGAGGATTTGCAGCAGGACGGTATCATGAAATTTGTATTCTTGAAGGAGCAATGTGAAGAGCATGGAGGACAGCAAAACGAGTAGCTGGGAGAGACTCATCCTAAGGCCAGTAACAATCGTGTGTGAAAAACGTTAATATTACAGTAATGGTAATAATAATTAACATGGGCTATTATTAGGCTGAGTTTTTATGGATTCTTTTATCTTCCAACAAACCTTTGAGGTAGGTGCCTATGGTACAAACAAGGAAAGTGAACCCTGGTAAGATCATACTGCCAGTTGACAAGGGATATTTATTATTCCTTAGGATTGGTCATTTCTGATTCCACATATTTTTGAATTTTTCATACCTTAAATCTCTGAAAATAGCTTCAGACCATCATTAACTCTTCCACTTTGACAATAAAGCTGAAGTTAAAAGAAATAAATTAACTAGCCAGTCACTGAGTAGCAGGACTGGATGTGAACCAATTTCCATGCCTTTCTCATGGACATGCTTGTCTAAGTAAGCAGCTTAGTAGGGAACAAGTGATGTGTGAACTTCAAGCCCAGATTTTTATATTTACAGAGCACTATTGAAAAGAGTTTTTAAAAGCAATTTTATATTTATTGTATCATTTTTTTTTCTTAAAACTGTCCAGATAGGCAAGAGGTAAAATCATTTCCATTTTATAGATGAAGAAACAAAGAGGGAAGTAACGGACTGAAATGGTGAGTTCCCGAGGTAATACTTTCTCCATTAAACATCTGTCTAGTTAACCAAATAACAATATTCAATTAAATTACTGATAGAGAAGGGATCTATGATGAAATTAGAGGAGTTAAGAGCAACATTATCCAATGAGTTGGGGTTTTCCATAGAGATATCTTATTTGTTGGGACCCTCTTGTCTAAAAAAGACAAGGTCAAGAAGGAATATAGCACAATTACCAAATTATGAAAGTCGTGGCGAAAGGAAAACCCAGATCAAGGAAGAACTCTTTAAAAATATAAGCATGGTGGTACTTTGTATAGTACATAATAAATTTTATAGAACTTGGAATATTTCAGACCTTCAAATGAATGTTAGGGAAACCAATGTGATGATCCATAATGATGATAATATTGGACACACATGGAGTATCAAACTATTGATATCCCTAAAATCAAGACAAAAGTTTTAAACATTTATACAGTAATTCAGTGTAAACCAACCCTTACTTTTTTATATCGTGAAAGCAGATTTTTTTACTTTAATGAATGATTACACCTGGAACTGCACCTGCCTTAATAGTCTTCATCTGTATGTATGTGGGGTTGATTTTCCCTTACAGAAAGCAACCATTGGTTTCTTCTCCCTTGCCCAAGATTTAAAAACCAGTCAAGCATTACATACAAATACAGAAAGG